ACAGAAGTATTAAAAGGTCACAGTGAAACAGGATGTTTACATAAAATATACATGACTAATTTGATATCTGTAAATAGACTCTCAAAGGAAATTGCTGGAGAGGCTGTACCCATGTAGGTGGGGGAATCATTAACCCGCCTCTTCCAGATGTAGAAGCGCTTGCCAGTGATATATTAAAGCAGCTACAGAAAACTCATGGTGATGTATTTTTAATACGGGTGGTTTAATTTGAAATTTTATTCACAGATGCAGTAGAAGGAATGAAATATTAATAGCTAAAATAAATATTTTTTATATACAAACTGATAAATAAGACTCAAAATTTAGATAAAACGGTGTTAACGTGCAACGCTGGTATTCTGGAAATTAAAATTGTGTTTTCACACTTACAGGAATATGTTACCAAAACTGCAGGATGTGCTGCACCACTGCTGAGACAGAGAAGTACCACCATGAACAGTAATAATAGTACAATAGTACAACTACAGGGGACTAAATGGGTTGTGTAATCTCCCACTGAATACGTTTTTTCATGTACCAGCTACCTGTACCAAATATTTGACCCCTTCCTGATTTCTAAGTCACACTTAAATGTTTAAGATAATAAAAGAATAATAATAATAGAAGTTAATCTGAGTGAATACAAAAAATCCTGGCCATATGTGGAAAAAGTAATTGCCCTCTCTTGTCAAATCATGAATTAATTGCATAGCTGAGTTCAATGTTATGAGCCATGTCCAACTCTGATTATTGCCAGACCTGTTCAATCAAGAAATCCCTTAAATAGGCTAAAAGAGCAACAGATCGTACTATGATTTAAAGAAACAAAGTAATGACTTCTATTATTCTGGAAAGGGTTTCAGGGGACTCTATAGTGAAAGCCTTTATCCACAAAAGGAGAAAACTTGGGACAGTGAACACCTTCCCAAAACAGCCTATCAAGTCATGTAAAAGGCCTCACTTGCCTCAGTTAAGGTCAGCGTTCTTAGTTTAATATAAGAAAGAGACTGGGCAAAAATAGCATAAATGGAAGAAATCCAAGGCAAAAACCACTGCTGACCAAAAAAGACTTCAGGACCTGGAAGTCTTGTTGCAAGTGATGAAACCATTAATTCCACTCTCTACCAGTAACTCCTGAAGGACAATGTCTGATCATCAGTTCGTGCCCTGATGCTAAAGTTCACTTGGGTTATGCAGCAGGACAGTCCACCTCTGAATGGTTCTTTGATTGTTGAAAGATCTTCTGATAAGCAAAAAGAAAAAGTCAAGGCTTCACCAAAGCCACATTGGTTTATGTGCAGGGTAACTAAAATAGCTTTAGCAGCCTTTCATGAAAATCTGATATTTGCTGAGATATTTAATTTTGGCCACCTACCTGACTTTCACTGCTATCGCAAACACTTCACTGCAGGCTTTGCCAAAAAAGTGCACAATCATACTACTAACATAAAGAAATAAAAGGCTGCTCATGCACAATGATAATAATGCAAGCTGCAATTGCTTTTTTTTCAGTCTTCATATCACATCTGCATTATTTATACACATTTACATCCAGTGTTAGTAATAAGAGTTTTCTGTTCATAAATTTAAGGTTTCCCTCCCAGAGAGTATTTAGACCTGTCTGATCAGAGATGGTGCCACTTTGTTCAGGGGATATCTACGAGCTGGCTGACAGCTAACAGCTGTGTAAATGAGGCAATGTTGACTGATGGCCACTTCATTAGGTAATATGAAATAAAGGAGTGAGATTTAGAGAAGGGGAAAGAGTAATGAAGCAAAATAAAGCGCTGGTGTGTTTGAGCCTAGAGGCTGCGAGCATGTTATTGTGAAATGAGTTGGAGAATGGGAAAGTTGAGCCAAAATTGAGACATTAGTTACAACTATGGCAAGCCCGACGTCTGGTGTTACTGCGCGGAAAGCCTTGGGGCACCAGCGCCTCAGGGGTCCAATAAAATGCGCAGTATTCAGTACACCTACTGCGGCCTTCAACTGTTAGATAAGAGGTTTCTACAGCCAACTGACAGCTTTGTTATTCAGATAGTGGAGCCAGTTTGTGTGCGCAGCAGTTTCTGGCTTTGTCTCAAAGTGACGGAGAGCCGCTCAGAGGCAGCACAATTAGCCTCAAGGACACTGAGACATTGTTCTTCTTTTTTTTCCTCTCCATCCAGCTCTCCTCTGCTCTGTCATTTGTACTCTATTCCCTGCCCTGTCTTCTGTGCATTAGTATACAGGAAACGCACAAAAACAGTAGGGACACTTTGTCTTTTTAGTAATTGCAGTGGTGAAGTGCACGCAACCTGGTAAAAAGCACCTCTTTTGTTGTTCATTTACACCAGGGCCACAAAAAGCACCACAGAGGAATCAAAACTAGCAAGAGGGGACTGTGCAAATATAGCCTCCAGACAATCTTAAGAACTGCTTATACATGTGCGTGCAGCCAGACACTACTGCAGAAGTGTGACTTGCAATGCAAACTGTTCTTTATGTTTGAGTGTGCGTGGGTTGATATCTTCATCAAGAGAAGCTCAGCTGTAATTCCTATGTTACTAAGGAAATCCCATCTGCTTTCTCCTCCCACGTGTTTTGAACGTGGACCTCCTACAACACAACTGGAAGTCGGAAAGCAAACCAGAGCTTTGAAGACTCTGTGTTTGGACTACAGCTCCAAACCTGTTTGCTTGAGGAGTGCAAAATTGACACTACTGGGACAGTTTTTTGCTTCTTTTGTTTTGCTCTAGCTGCCAGCAGAAAATAGCAAGACAGCTTAGTAAGCGGTAACAGGTGTCTGAGATGAGCTTTCCAAATCCAAGGTTTAATTCAGCGCCAAAATAAGAGAGCTAACATTGTTGCCTTAGAATATAATTATTGAAAAGTTGACTGATGTGCTGTAATCTCATACACTGTCTAATATCAGCCGGCACTCTTGACCCCAACTGGTCACAGCAGATGGCCCCGCCCCTCCCTGAACCTGGTTCTGCTGGAGGTTTCTTCCTGTTAAAAGGGAGTTTTTCCTTCCCACTGTCACCAAAGCGCTGCCCAAAGGGAGGCATATCATTGTTGGGTTTTTCTCTGTATGTATTATTGTAGGATCTAGCTTACAATATAAAGCGCATTGAGGTGACTGTTGTGTTGGTGCTGAATAAATAAAATTGAACTGAATCGAATTTTCTAACCCTTAAACCTGCTGCTGGTTAGAAAGATGTGCCTTTGTCCAAACTTCCTATGACAATTATGCCTTTTACAGAGGAAACATAACTTGGGGTGAGGGGTGACTTCTTTGTCATATCTTTATACACGAATAGGATTTGTTTGTAGAGGAAGCGCTAAGCACAATATTATAATGTTATTACCATAAGATTTGTTACTTTATGACCAAGAAAATGTCTCTGTCAAAATATCTTGGAAGAGCTTCTGAATTTTGTGTTTTACACTGATCAGCCACAACATTAAAACTACCTGTTTAATATTGAGTAGGTCTTCATCATGCCTTTAAACAGCTCAGATCTCCTAAGACATGGGCACTGGATATTGGACAATAAATGGTCCTGGGTCCTTTACTTTGGGTGTGAGTTTTCCTTCTGGTGGAGGCTGCTGCTGCTGGAGAGTGACGTTGCCATGAGGGGAGTGCTTACATCCCATTTATGCTTCAGTGGGGAATCTATGCCGTAACGTAAAACATAACCTGCTCACACCTCCTGAGAAATAACCGCACGATGCATCAACACAGCCCCCAACTACTGTGATTGGCCTGTTCAGCACAGTTGATTCCTCATGTGCATTTCTGACTACTCGCCACAGTTTTTGAATTTATCAGTGAGAGAATAACAATCATCAGCCCAGTATAAGGAATAAAAACCACAGCATCAATATAAGGACTCATAAATGTCTGTAGATTCCTGGAGGGAGATTGCTGAAACTATCAGAATGGATGTGAGGGACTGAACAAAAACGTGGAAAAAAAAACGAGGGACAAATATCTTTACTCCTAAAAGAAAAAGAAAACTGACCACAACAAACAGTAAGGACCCAGCATTTTATTTTTGTCTGTTGGCTGGCACCACGTATGAAGCATCAGGACATGACCACATGGTAATGAACATGTAACGAACCTGCGCAAGCATAGACAACGTCAACCACTTACAGAGGTTACATTGTAGACTCTACAAAGATTCCCCACAGAAGTCTGAATCAGGCTTCAGTCTGCAGCAATATTGAAAGGGGTGCTACGTGTCCTGTTAATATGCAGATGATTTTCAGGACCACAGACAGGTACAACACTGCATTGTAATTAGATGATCAATGATATTCACACCATCTGTCAGCTGTTTGCTCATGCGGCCAAAGGACTGATGAACTTTTGCTATGTCAAGGCATCACCACTCCTCCTACAGCGTTGGTCGTATTTTAGTGAAGTGACATTAATTTAATAGCATTGATCCTCGACTTTTCAAGTCTCCTTGACTTCTTTAATTCTCAATAGTTTGTGCAACAAAACCAACCACTAGTAAGAAAACACAACTTTCTTTCTGCACGTTACATTAACCTTTGAATTCAGCTACAATGTTACTGAGCTTCTGGTTTCAATTAGTTTTAATTTTGAAGGTAGTGGGAAACAAACAGAATATTAGTAAATGAAGAATGTTTCCTACTGGCTATTGCACATTTTTTCTGGACAAAATATTTCATAATGTACATTACAGTCTACTGAATGTGGATATGTTTTGATACAGATTGTTAACCAAGGATGATTCTGCACTTTGGCCCAGTTTTTATTAAGCCAACATGTTTCCTCCGTCACCTTTTTTTTGCACTTGACCTGAATGAACTGATTTTGTCAGGTGAAACCTCCTGCCATTTAATGCAGTTTGTAAGACCTTTGTGGCAACACGCTAAACGGAAATTAACCTTTCCCTTCCACGGTAATACCCATCAATCCTTCGCTGCCTTCAGCATCTTTGAGTATTTAACTGCTTTAATTTCGACTCTTCTTCTGCTTCCAGGTGGTGGTGAAAACCCGCACGGAGTACCAGACAGAGAAGAAGCGGCTGAAGGTGCCCAAAGTGGAGGAGTTCACCATCAGTTTTACTGATGGAGTGTCTGAGAGACTTAAGGTAAGAATTTACATAATAGAAACTCACAGTGTGCTTAATTATCTTCGGGGTCTGTGATGCAGAAATAACAATTCTAATAATGGGTGTCCGGTGGGTTCTTTATCATCGCAGCTATAATTGCATGAAGAATATTGATTCATCTAACATGTTCCCCTTTGGCCTACCCAAATGAAATCCATGTGACCAGTTTGAACTGCTCGTTACATTTAGAAATGCAGCTGCAGTTGTAGTGTAAATACTCAGGAAGTAGACAAACAAATGAATGAATCTGGGTTATGATCAGCTCATGCAGACATGAGACTCCTGCTCTTTCTATAACAATCTTTTTCACTCACTGGCATGCAAACTCACAGTCTTCCCCGGTGACTGAAATAACAAGTTAGGTTCTATAAGCCAGAGTTTAAAAAGAAATTGTGTGTATCGTGCAACAAGCTATACAGGCTTCATACAGTACATTAACATGAAATTGATTTAGCCACAGTTGCATCCGTGCTATTCACAACACTCAGGATAGTCATTTATTTCTTGCTTGTATAGCTGTAACTCTGCCTAGCAACCACTACACAAACATACAGATGTTCCAGGACAATAAAGTTAGTCAGGTTAGCTGTCCTGGGGAAGTTTACAGTAGTAACACGATGCAATCCCTGTTCTGTCATTAATCTTTGCCAATACTAGTATTTGGTGAATTTGCGTTTATTATTATATTTGCAAAATACCACCATATGTCTTGGTCATATTATTTTATTTAGTTGTATTTATCTGCGACACCTTAATGGCCGGTCTGTGAAGATATTGTCGGACATTAAACTCCGTGGTCCATGGCGCAAAAAAGGTTGGGGACCGCTGCTTTAAGGTATTCGTATGTCATTTATTGTCTTTGCAGAGTAGGCACTTCTGGATTATTTTTGGAAAAGTGTCTCTTCCTGCAGGGCATTGCACCACCAAACCAAACTAAGGGATGTTTACAGACACTTTAATTGTGGAATAATTATAAACTTAGCACAAAAAGTAAGGACATTTGTGTTTGGTTGATTATTTTTTGTATCTTATACTGCTGGAAAGTCTCTTTATTCCGCTTAAATTGTGCCACATTTTTCAGGAAAATGTATTTGTGGGTTGAGCAGCAGAGTAGAGTGTGTGGGTTGTGCCCATGAAAATCTTCTCTGCCGATGCCAGACAGCTTATTCTGCTACTGACTAGAGCAGGGCAATATGGCCAAAAATATTTATCACGATATATATTTGAAAATTTGCAATAATGATATAACTGACAATATAATTGACACTGGACAAAATATTTTACAACGCCAAAACTTTATAAGTGAAAAAAACCCCCATCAATGTATTTTTACTTAAACAAGCAGCTGTTTTTTATGTGCATTAAAGCTATATAAAAACTTAACAGTGCAAATGCAAATTCCTCGCTGACAGTTTAACCAAAAGGCATTTCCAGTGGAAATTGGCTGACATATCCTCAGCATAACCAGGTATAATATCCACAAAACTTAAAAAGAGGTTATACACACAATACAGTAATATTATGTTGAAGCACAGTACGTATCACTCCATGAGGCTCCTGACTACGGTAGCTGTAATGCTCAGACAATCCATTAAGCGGTGCGGCTTCGTAGCTTACCAAAGTTGTACTAAAACATTTTTGACAGATTTTTTAACCGTGTACCACATAAAATCGGTTCAACGTCAGTAAGCACAACAAGAATTCATACATAAGGCGCACCGGATTATAAGGGGCCCTGTCGATTTTTTCATCAAATCAAAGGATTGATTTTAAGTGTGCCTTATTTTCCGAAAAACACGCTAATAACGACGGCCTGCTAGCATGCTCTACCAAAAATTGTGCTTTGTTGTGTATCTGACGGACGAAAACCAAACCAGTTCCACACCACTGAAGTTGCAGCATTTTTACAAACCAATGTTAGTTCATCTGTTTCATTCAACGATCCACTTTCGGCCTTCTCGTTCTCCATTACCGCCATGCTTTTTCCGCCATGTTCGTATAAAAATAAAGGCATTGCACATGCGCGTTTTACCCATATTCTATCGCGATATTTCACTTTCTTATCATTGCCTAACATTATACTGGTGTTACCGTGAACGGTATGATATGGCCCAGCCCTACTACTGACTCTTGTTTTAAGATGGTTGAAGAATGGGATGCCATGCCACAGCATTGTGTGACCAAGCTGGTGACCACCATGAGCAGGATGTGCCAGGCTGTTGTGGTTGTGTTTGGTTCTTTCATGTATTTCTGAGGCCCCTGTTTGTTAAATAAATGAATAGTGAAATTACCAACATGTCTTGTTTCTTTAGACTTCGATCATCCAGTCCAGTAACGACACCTAAAAAGAGTCAAAAACAGAATAAGCTTTTTGGCATTGGCAGAGATGATTTACCACATTTTCATGAGTGCAGCCCACATGCTCAACTCTGCTGCTCAACCCACAAATTCATTTTCCTTACACATGTGGCACCATTTAAGGGGGAATAAACAGGTTTTCCGGTAATATAAGATTTATTGTCAAGAAGCATTGTTACAAGAAAGAAGTAATCGACCAAACCCAAATTTCCTTATGCACATAAGCTTAGAATTGGAAGGCCAAAGTCTACAGTAATAGGTAGATCTTTGAAAAGATGACAGTATAGCCATCTCACTATGCTGATGTTAGCCAAGTCTTAAATCCAGTGCTTCTGGTCGGGGCTTTATGTCACATTTCTATAGGTGTCAGCATTTATAACGAAAACAGACTTACTTTCCATCCCAGAGAAGATTTGTCTTCATTTACATTTATCAATAATCTAATAATCCAGACGATTTATTGAAGTTGTTAACCACTAGACAAACTGCCTGGCTGTTTGCATTTTTTCCCCTTTAATCTATATATACCAGTGCACAGTCAGAAGGCAGAAAGCACACTATTTCATACAGTAATGACATGACATATGAAATCCTCAACAAAAACAACAATGGCCTTGTTGAAAGAAAAACAACCACATGCAAATTATTCCACTAAAAAGCAGCTCTTTGAAGGTGGAAGCTACCCGAGCTGACAGGTACAGGGGTTCGATTTACCCAGTAATGCTTTACAGGTATAGATATTATATTCACTGTCAATATAACTAGCTACAGCATAGCAGTCTACAGTGCCTACACAGTGTGGATTAAAATCTAATAGGACACATTTTCTGGCAAAGCGAGGACCTTTACTTGAATATTCAAGTACAAATAATTGATAATTCTTCATCTTCGGTTTTATTGGCATTTTAATCTAAGCAAGGGAGCTGTGTGCATCTTCCAACACCACCCTTCTTTGCCACAGGGTAGAACAGGGGACTTGAGCAGCACGAGTGTGGATCACAGCGCTCCAAAATCATCCACGGGCGCTGTCTGCTCTGTTTCGCTGTCGTTAGGGGAGACCAGAGAGATCTCACGTTGTCATGGCAGCAAAGAAAACCTCCCTCCATGGCAACCCTGACAGGGAGCAAGAGAGGAGGAAAAAGTGCACGAGCAGAGGTGTGTGCATGTTTAGGTGTAGGTGAGGGTGTGTAAATGAGGTGTAATACTGGTCTGAGATGTCCTTCGAAGCAGGAGAGAAGAGAATCGGATCCTGGAAAACATGAGATGTGCTGTGTGTTCGGACTGTACTGAAGCTGTGAAGTTTGAGCAGAAAAATGTGTCTTTAGATTATCCCATAGCACATGGGGTGAGCTCGGTGCCTTGGTAGAACATCAGACATGAGTTTTGTTCATGATATCGACTGAGTGCAGCTGCCTCTGGGTTCCCTTACTAGTTCCCAAGAAGCCAATTAAAGGGCTTGATGCCTTTTGTGAGTCCCGTTTTAAGTGCTTATTGGCTAAGCATGTTTAGGAGGTGGTTTGAATAAATTTTGTGTGTCAATATAGTCTATACAGGATGCCATTTTTGTTAAAATGTTCTCTATCTACATATAGCATACAGCACATTTTAGGAATTTCATTGAGAAACATTTTAAATGTGAGACGACCAAACAGACCCATCTAAGTATCTTTCAATTACAAGTAATTACCTTCCTTAACAACTTTTTGAGGAGGGAAGTTTTTAGGGCTCGAAATACATTACAATTGAATGTTGTATAAAAAGGTTAAGGAGTGTTTTTATTGCACCACTGGTAACAAAAAAACGTTTTTAGCATGGTTGTCCATTGATTTTCCTACACTTATCCAATTCACGGTGGCGAGTGGGGGCCTGAGCCTATCCCAGCTGCCATAGGTTGAGATCCTGGGCGGGTCACCAGTCTATCATAGGACTGACACAGAGAAACAGACGATTATGGCAATTTAGATTTAGCAATCGGGCTAATTCCCTACTAAATTTGTGTTTTTGGCCTGTTGGAGGAAGCCGAAGTACTGGGCGAGAAAGCCATAAAGACACAGGGGCAACATGCAAACTCCACACGGAGAGGCCCAGCCAGATGTTGGAGTCAAATCCAGAACCTTCTTGCTGTGAGGCAACAGTGTTAACCACCATACTGGACTTTTTCCATATTCCAAAATCATAGTTTAACCATGGCAGACCTACAAAAATAACATCTATAGTTACATAATTAAGCAGCCTAGTGAAATTCCCTGAACATTCCTGTTTTATTTTCATTTGGAATTCCTTGGAATTCTCATTCACAGCTTTCCTTGACCTTATATCTTTTATCAAGTACCTACAAGGAAAAGTGTGGTTTTAATATCACACTGGATAGGTCTTTTGCACACGTTCCAATGTGTGGCCCCTTGTCGTATAGAGGAAACTCAAAAATGTACACAGTGAGAGTGTTGCTCCTCTGAGCTGGCCAGAATGCAGCGGCAGACTCTACAGTCATCCCTGGCTTACCACACTACGTCAGCTTTTGTTAGCTAGATATGCGTTTCAGTCCGTGGGATTTTTATGGTATGTCGGGTAGTTTTGGGTGCTCAACTGAACCGACTCGCTTTGTTTGACTGACAGAGCCA